GTGCGGACAGTGCAAATAGTGCAGACAGTGCAAATAGTGCGGACAGTGAAAATAGTGCAGACAGTGCAAATAGTGCGGACAGTGAAAATAGTGCGGACAGTGAAAATAGTGCAGACAGTGCAAGTAGTGCGGACAGTGAAAATAGTGCAGACAGTGCAAATAGTGCGGACAGTGAAAATAGTGCAGACAGTGCAAATAGTGCAGACAGTGCAAATAGTGCAGACAGTGCAAATAGTGCAGACAGTGCAAATAGTGCGGACAGTGAAAATAGTGCAGACAGTGAAAATAGTGCAGACAGTGAAAATAGTGCAGACAGTGCAAATAGTGCGGACAGTGCAAATAGTGCAGACAGTGAAAATAGTGCAGACAGTGAAAATAGTGCAGACAGTGAAAATAGTGCAGACAGTGCAAATAGTGCGGACAGTGAAAATAGTGCAGACAGTGAAAATAGTGCAGACAGTGCAAATAGTGCGGACAGTGCAAATAGTGCAGACAGTGAAAATAGTGCAGACAGTGAAAATAGTGCAGACAGTGCAAATAGTGCGGACAGTGCAAATAGTGCAAACAGTGCAAATAGTGCAGACAGTGCAAATAGTGCAGACAGTGTAAATAGTGTGGACAGTGCAAATAGTGCAGACAGTGCAAATAGTGCAGACAGTGCAAATAGTGCGGACAGTGCAAATAGTGCGGACAGTGCAAATAGTGCGGACAGTGCAAATAGTGCGGACAGTGCAAATAGTGCGGACAGTGCAAATAGTGCAGACAGTGCAAATAGTGCGGACAGTGCAAATAGTGCAAACAGTGCAAATAGTGCGGACAGTGCAAATAGTGCAGACAGTGCAAATAGTGCGGACAGTGAAAATAGTGCAGACAGTGCAAATAGTGCGGACAGTGCAAATAGTGCGGACAGTGAAAATAGTGCAGACAGTGCAAATAGTGCGGACAGTGCAAATAGTGCAGACAGTGAAAATAGTGCAAATAGTGAAAATAGTGCAGACAGTGCAAATAGTGCGGACAGTGCAAATAGTGCGGACAGTGCAAATAGTGCAGACAGTGCAAATAGTGCGGACAATGCAAATAGTGCGGACAGTGCAAATAGTGCAGACAGTGCAAATAGTGCGGACAGTGAAAATAGTGCAGACATTGCAAATAGTGCGGACAGTGAAAATAGTGCGGACAGTGAAAATAGTGCAGACAGTGCAAGTAGTGCGGACAGTGAAAATAGTGCAGACAGTGCAAATAGTGCGGACAGTGAAAATAGTGCAGACAGTGCAAATAGTGCAGACAGTGCAAATAGTGCAGACAGTGCAAATAGTGCAGACAGTGCAAATAGTGCGGACAGTGAAAATAGTGCAGACAGTGAAAATAGTGCAGACAGTGAAAATAGTGCAGACAGTGAAAATAGTGCGGACAGTGCAAATAGTGCCGACAGTGAAAATAGTGCAGACAGTGAAAATAGTGCAGACAGTGAAAATAGTGCAGACAGTGCAAATAATGCGGACAGTGAAAATAGTGCAGACAGTGAAAATAGTGCAGACAGTGCAAATAGTGCGGACAGTGCAAATAGTGCAGACAGTGAAAATAGTGCAGACAGTGAAAATAGTGCAGACAGTGCAAATAGTGCAGACAGTGCAAATAGTGCAGACAGTGCAAATAGTGCAGACAATGCAAATAGTGCAGACAGTGCAAATAGTGCGGACAGTGCAAATAGTGCAGACAGTGCAAATAGTGCAGACAGTGCAAATAGTGCAGACAGTGCAAATAGTGCGGACAGTGCAAATAGTGCGGACAGTGCAAATAGTGCGGACAGTGCAAATAGTGCGGACAGTGCAAATAGTGCAGACAGTGCAAATAGTGCGGACAGTGCAAATAGTGCGGACAGTGCAAATAGTGCGGACAGTGCAAATAGTGCAGACAGTGCAAATAGTGCGGACAGTGAAAATAGTGCAGACAGTGCAAATAGTGCGGACAGTGCAAATAGTGCGGACAGTGAAAATAGTGCTGACAGTGCAAATAGTGCGGACAGTGCAAATAGTGCAGACAGTGAAAATAGTGCAAATAGTGAAAATAGTGCAGACAGTGCAAATAGTGCGGACAGTGCAAATAGTGCGGACAGTGCAAATAGTGCAGACAGTGCAAATAGTGCAGACAGTGCAAATAGTGCGGACAGTGCAAATAGTGCGGACAGTGCAAATAGTGCGGACAGTGCAAATAGTGCGGACAGTGCAAATAGTGCGGACAGTGCAAATAGTGCGGACAGTGCAAATAGTGCAGACAGTGCAAATAGTGCGGACAGTGCAAATAGTCCGGACAGTGCAAATAGTGCAGACAGTGCAAATAGTGCGGACAGTGAAAATAGTGCAGACAATGCAAATAGTGCGGACAGTGAAAATAGTGCAGACAGTGCAAATAGTGCGGACAGTGAAAATAGTGCAGACAGTGAAAATAGTGCAGACAGTGCAAATAGTGCGAACAGTGCAAATAGTGCAGACAGTGAAAATAGTGCAGACAGTGAAAATAGTGCAGACAGTGCAAATAGTGCGGACAGTGAAAATAGTGCAGACAGTGAAAATAGTGCAGACAGTGCAAATAGTGCGGACAGTGCAAATAGTGCAGACAGTGAAAATAGTGCAGACAGTGAAAATAGTGCAGACAGTGCAAATAGTGCGGACAGTGCAAATAGTGCGGACAGTGCAAATAGTGGAGACAGTGCAAATAGTGCAGACAGTGCAATTAGTGCGGACAGTGCAAATAGTGCAGACAGTGCAAATAGTGCAGACAGTGCAAATAGTGCGGACAGTGCAAATAGTGCGGACAGTGCAAATAGTGCGGACAGTGCAAATAGTGCGGACAGTGCAAATAGTGCGGACAGTGCAAATAGTGCAGACATGCAAATAGTGCGGACAATGCAAATAGTGCGGACAGTGCAAATAGTGCAGACAATGCAAATAGTGCGGACAGTAAAAATAGTGCAGACAGTGCAAATAGTGCGGACAGTGAAAATAGTGCAGACAGTGCAAATAGTGCGGACAGTGAAAATAGTGCAGACAGTGCAAATAGTGCAGACAGTGCAAATAGTGCAGACAGTGCAAATAGTGCAGACAGTGCAAATAGTGCGGACAGTGCAAATAGTGCAGACAGTGCAAATAGTGCGGACAGTGAAAATAGTGCAGACAGTGCAAATAGTGCGGACAGTGAAAATAGTGCAGACAGTGCAAATAGTGCAGACAGTGCAAATAGTGCGGACAGTGAAAATAGTGCAGACAGTGCAAATAGTGCGGACAGTGAAAATAGTGCAGACAGTGAAAATAGTGCAGACAGTGCAAATAGTGCGGACAGTGCAAATAGTGCAGGCAGTGAAAATAGTGCAGACAGTGAAAATAGTGCAGACAGTGCAAATAGTGCGGACAGTGCAAATAGTGCAGACAGTGCAAATAGTGCAGACAGTGCAAATAGTGCGGACAGTGCAAATAGTGCAGACAGTGCAAATAGTGCAGACAGTGCAAATAGTGCGGACAGTGCAAATAGTGCGGACAGTGCAAATAGTGCGGGCAGTGCAAATAGTGCGGACAGTGCAAATAGTGCGGACAGTGCAAATAGTGCAGACAGTGCAAATAGTGCAGATAGTGCAAATAGTGCAGACAGTGCAAATAGTGCAGACAGTGCAAATAGTGCAGACAGTGCAAATAGTGCGGACAGTGCAAATAGTGCAGACAGTGCAAATAGTGCGGACAGTGCAAATAGTGCGGACAGTGCAAATAGTGCGGACAGTGCAAATAGTGCAGACAGTGGCAGAGGGAACGAGGGTACACCCCATCTTCTCCCCTCTCCTCCCAGCGCCTTTCCCTTCTCTCACCCCTCTCTCCCCCCACCCGCCACTAGGTCAATGGCATGTGCAGCAAGCACCACCCGCACCTCGTGAAACTCCTGGGATACTGCATGGAGGATGTTATAGTCACAATAGGCTTGAATGTGCCTAAAACGAAAGATAGAGAGCACAGACGGATTTCTGCACAGCGGCTTCAAACGTTGATAGCGTTCTGCTCACAGCTGCAAATGACTTGATTCAAATTGGATCTGGAGCGTCTTCACGTCGTCTACAATTAGCAATTTAGATTGCACGATTTGATGAAGAATTGACGACACAGCGTCGGTTTGAACGAACGGTACTATGGCAGCCACTATAGTCTTAGAACACAAGATAGGAAGAGTTACGAGTTGGGAATGACTCCCAGCTCCTACAAACCCCAAGAGCCGAGGTACAGTGATGTGGAACAGTGCCACACTGTCCCCAACCACGAAGGGTCTCGAAACTACCCTTCACTAGGGCCTACACCAAGTGAAATGTTACACTACACAAAGTAATGTAACTATCTTCAATATCTTGAGGTGTACCCTTTTGGCAAGCTTCGAAATCACTTGAGGCTTGACACCAAGGCTCGGGCTCTTCATCACAAACTCATCCTTGAGTTCTTGATGGGTCTGCTGCACACACCTGCGACACGCCGAACGTTCGACACAGGACAAAATAGAAACCGCGCACGACAAAATAGAAACCGCGCGCGAGACACAAACGACCGCGTAACACGCGTCTAGCGATAACTCGCTATTGACTCGACACACACACTCGACATCATGACTCAACATTCACACACAATTATAAGCATGAAATATATATTATCCCATGCCCTCATACCATTCCATACACACACACATTCACGCACACGGACAACAAGCCGAGTGCAAACCGTAGGGTTGCACAAACAAGCTTCCTGCTCTCATGATCCCCCCCTTGCATGAGGAGAAGCCCGAGGCCTGTCGAGGGGTGCAGAACGGCGGCCTCCCCCCTCTCGCGGGCAGAAAATCGCTCAAAGTCGGTGCGCGCATGGGATCCGCCAGGTCAGGAGCCGGGGCGACGGGAGGCCTTTGGGTTACGGCGATATGTACGTGAGCCAGCTCCCCTCCCGCCTGCGCATGCCGCACCGCCGCTGTCAATACGTTCACTGCGTGTTCGACAGCGGAGTCCTGACCGCGGCTGTTACCGCCGCGCCCGGGGCCATTCCGCCGACCGCGACAACCCCCAGATCCAGCCGACTACGGACGTGGCAGGAACGGCTCGCGGCGAGCAGAATCCCAGCGGCGCCCAGGAGATCCCCTCCCCCGCCTCGCCGGAGATTGCCGCGGAGAGCGTCGCGCGGGGGATCGCGCTCGCGGTGAATGCCTATTTTGACCCCCGCGCCCATCTGGATGATGCTGAGGAGAGTGGTGCTGGGGGGAGAGATGGCGCGCGGGAGATCGCTGGGCGCCCGCTCCGTTACGAGGAGGATCGCGCCGCTCAGGAGAACGGCGGCGAGGAGATCACTGCAGCGGAGGCGGAGGGAACGTCCGCGCCCCGGATCCGGCTGGCCAGCGAGGCGGTTTGACGCGACCCGAGCAGGGGCCCACGAGTACTCCGGCGAGGTGGGCTGCGGGACCCCCAGAAGAGGAAGGGAGAGCCCGCGCTCAAAGCGGCGAAAGGGCTCACTCGCGGAGGGGCGCGTGGGGAGACGTGAACGAGGACCGGCAGGCTCCTGCTCCTGCTGTGCGCTCTCCGCTGTGCCCTCCATTGCAGGATCGTGACTCGCGGTCGGATCCATTACGCCCGATACCACTGCCGCCGACGCCAGCGCTCCGTCAAAGAGCGAGCGATGTCGCCGCCGATCTTTCAACAAGGCGCGCGGGGGCCGCAAGAGGAAGAGAAACGCGGGGAATTCGTGTGGGACGAGGCAGCAATCACCGCGGACGTGGGCGCGGTGCCACGACTCAGAGAAGAGGCGCAAGTAGCTTTGCTAGAGCAGCACAGTGGGCCCTGCGGCAGAGAGCTAGGGAGGGAGGGGAGACACTTGGTGACGATTCTGGGAATGGCTCAGCGGGTGACCCCTCCTTTATCCCCGAAAGGGAGGGGAGTTCGAGTCCCTCGACATAGGAAGAAGAGGTTGACCCAGCCCAAGGAGTGGGTGAAATTCCAACCGGGGGGTGAACCGCATCTGCAATTCAAACCCCTCGAAATTGGGCCGCGAGGGGAAACCGAGCCGCCACCAACGCTAGGGTTACCACTACCCCCGACACCCCTGCACCAATCGTCAGCGCTGACGACCTGGCCGGCCGCCAAGACCTCTTCGCTGACATCGCCAACTGGGACCTCTGCCCCCTGCGCGATAGCAGACAGCCACCCCTCGCCCGCCACCCACCCCGCCCACTTCGCAAATCCTTCGCAATTTGCCTCCTGACCCCACTACTCCACCTGGCAAAAAATCCTAACTCGTCACCTGGTTGGAAGCTGCTGATGTTTCTCCCGCGTATCTGGCTGCGCTCTTCGTCAGCCCGCAAACCTGACTGGAAGGCCATGGGCAAGAGACTGACGAGATTTCGCCAAGGCCTGTGGCGTGACCCGTATAACGAGGCAGCGGATGCAGTCACCAACAACCCCCAACCACGCCACGTACCTGACACCACGGGCAAGCTGGCGAGGGCCGAGGGGCTGGCCAAAAGAGGAAACCTGGCAAAATCCCTCCAGTCCCTCACTGCCACGCCCGTCTGCACGCAGAGCGCTGAAGTCCTGAGTGCACTCACGGTCAGACATCCAGAGGCCTCCCTCGCCATTCCAGACTCGGTGCACGACTTCGCCTCTGAGACCGTACCCTCAATCACAGCCTTTGACTTCAGGCGTCTGCTCGCTAGATGCTCGAACGGTGTAGGTGCCGGGCCCTCAAGAACCACCTTCGAGCACCTGAGAGATGCGGCACTCGGGAACGCCGACGTCTTAGTACAGCTACACGCACTCACCAACACGGCGCTTGCGGGAAAACTGAGCGCAGAGGCAGCAGACCTCCTCACAGCGTCGCGACTGCTCGCTTTCTCAAAACCACAGGGCGGAAAGAGACCGATAGCTGTGGGTGAATGCCTGCTACGCCTCATCGCCAAGGCGGCTCTTTTCTTAGCCGCCCCCGCGGCACACGAGCACTTCACCCCGCTCCAATTTGGAGTAGCGATCGCCGGAGGCATTGAAGCAGCGATACACACCGCACGCACCTACCTGGAGGATTTCCCAGGAGCGACAGCTCTGCAGATCGACCTGGCAAACGCCTTCAATGCAGTCGAGCGCGCGGCAGTGTTCGAGGGACTGAAAGGCACGGCCCTCGACTCCCTCGTGCCTCTCGTCCGCCTCTCATACGACCGTCCTTCTGCACTCTACCTCGACCATGACTTTGGAGCAGAGCCACTTCAGAGCGCTCGAGGCGTGCGCCAGGGCGATCCCCTAGGACCCATGCTATTCGCAGCCAGCATCCACCCATGCCTCGTCGCCACGGCAGCGGCCCATCCGGAGGTGGTGCTTCTCGCGTACGCGGATGACATCACCGTGTTAGGCGAGGCGGCAAACTGCACGGTGGCCTTCACTCACCTCACCGAGGCCCTCCTCAGCCACAGCTTGGCCCACAACCCGGCGAAGTGCAAAGCTTGGTCCGCCGTGGCCTTGGACCCCACCACCTTACCCCCAAGCATCAATATCTCCCTGGACGGGGTCTGCATCTTAGGCAGCCCCATTGGGCCACCCTCAGGATGTGCTGCTCGAGTGCGCGAACGACTTTATGCAGCAGCCGAGCCGCTTCCGCTCCTCTCACAGATGGACCCCCAGCTATGCCTCCTACTGCTCACCCGCTGTGTGAGTCGCCGTGCCTCGTTCCTGGTCAGAGCCACACCGCTCGAGGCCCTTCCTTTAGGGGAATGGTCCGCCTGGGGGGAAGAGCTGCTCCACACCTACATGGCTGCCGCACACACAAAGATCCCCAGGGACCGAGCAGAGAGGGACAGAATCTGGCAGCAGGCCGCCCTGCCCACGTCTCTGGGAGGCCTCGGCATCACAAACCCTGCAGTGGAGGGGGGATTTGCTTACCTGGCCTCAGTTGTTTCTGCCGCCCACCTGCTGCGCTCTTTCGGCGACTCAGCAAACCCGGCTCTCACGGGACTCCTGCCGCTGATGGATGCTGACGAGGAGTCCACCTCCCTCCACCCGAGACGCCTCGCTGCCTTGGAAGCCGAGCTACCGCCTGACGGGATCGAGGCTCTCCAAGTGGGGAGGCAAAAGCCTAACGGGCCCAAGCTCCAACAGGCACTCTCCCTCGCGGTACACACAGCCCGGTACATTAGGCTACTGGATAGCTCGCGGGACATGGAGCTGAGCCCGCTGTCCGGCCATACGCAGAGGCTGCAGTCCCTCCTAGGCCCGGGGGCGGGGGACTGGTTGCACGCTGTCCCCTTAATCCCTTCCCTCCGCCTCGGGCCCTCCCAGTTTTCCACGGCGGTCTCCTTCCACTTGGGCCTGCCCTTACCTGTGCCAAGACTCTGCAACTGCAGATACTGTACCACCTTCCCTGACGACCGCTTGCCTAACCACCTGATGCGGTGTGAGAAAAGGGGGGGGGAGAATTGCCACTCACCATGCACCGCGGGACGAGTGCGCGAAGATAGCAGCTGAAGCAGGCTTCACAGTGCACAAGGAGACGACGACATACTCACCGGTCGAAAACCTCAAAGCCGATATCTCTATCCGCCATCTCGACACCGGTGAGGTGTGGATTTGTGACATCACAGTCACGGACCCCGTCTCCCACCAGGATGAGTTGGCCCGTAAGGCACCCGGCTGGGCAGCAAGGATGCAAGCGGACAAAAAAGAGAGCAAATACGCCGGGCGAAGCCCGTGGGTGGGCTTTTATGCCACGGCGGTAGAGACGTACAGCTACCCCTCACCTGGAGGCCTTGATTTCCTTCGCAGCTGCGCGGAGCTAGCGGGCAAGTGGCAGTTCAACACCGCTCCGAAGTCGCGGGAGGTCGCTAAGCTCCTTACCGAGTACCGGCAGCGATGGAGCGTGACCCTGGCTGAGAGCCCAAGCCAACGCCCTCAGGGATAAGACCCATGAGGCCCTTACGGCGGATGTGCTCGGCCTGCAGGGCCCGTTTACTCCACTGAGCGAGGGCCAGCTGTACCAACTGATTGAAGACCCCTCCGGCTACTAGGGCCGGAAGGGGAAGGGGCGGTTCTTAGTGGTGCTAGGATAGTAGAGTGCTGCTGTAGCTTGGCTGTGTGTAGATGTGGCCTTACCTTGTGTGTAACTTGGTGATTTTAATACGATGGACCGCGAGAGAGAGAGAGAGAGAGAGAGAGAGAGAGAGAGAGAGAGAGAGAGAGAGAGAGAGAGAGAGAGAGAGAGAGAGAGAGACTCATCCTTTCCATTCCACTGTCCACTCACAACAGGGAGGGGCTTACAAGGTGACTTTTGAGTCGACTCAAAAGTCACCTCATTCTTTCCACTCACGACAGGGAGGGCGACTTACAGGAGCATGAGGTTAGAAAGGCCTGATATGGCCCGAGGGATAGGACCACTGATCTTGTTGACATTGAGAGTCCTGAACACACAAAGCGGGGGGGTTTGAGTCGACTCAAAAACAGAGTGGGGGTGATATACATATATTTATGTATATATATATATTTTTTACTCACTAAGAAGAATTAGGCTACCAAGCTGTTACTGTGCAGTTACCATGTGGTTACCACATGGTTACTACCATGTCGCTAACCAAGTTGCCACCATGCACCAAAGAGCCATATGCAACGTACAACTCAGTTTGCCTCATGAGTCTGCACACGGAGTTTGGGCTCTTGTGGTTACTACGTGGTTACCACGTGGCCTCAAAAGTTTGACAAGCAAATTGAATTGGAATTATTTCTGACACGGAACGAGAGCAACGCACAGCTCAGTTAGCTTCTTGAGCCTGGAGATAGAGCTTGCTTGGCCTTTTGTGGTCAGTTACCAAGTGGTTACCCTACTGGTTACTGCCAAACGCAACAAACAAGCCGGCAAGCAACGCACAGCTCAGTTAGCTTCTTGAGTCTCGAGATAGAACTTGGGAGAGTTGAGCTGAGCGAATTGAATTCAAGATTGCTGTTGCAACGGGGAGGGGGACGGGAGTGGGGGGAGAGGGGAGGAAAGAAGGGGGGTTGGGTTAAGAGTGGTTTGGGAGGGTGAAAGGGAAAGGCAAGAGAAGAATTTCAAGTGGACTCAGAAAGAGTCTCATCATGCGTGGTTTGGGAGGGTGTCGGGAAAGGTGAGGGATGTGAAAGGGAAAAGAGGGGGGAGGGGGGGAGGGGCAAAGGCAAGGAAACAGGAAGGATGAGACGGTGTGAGTGCTGCTGTAAGAAGGAAGACAAGCAACGCGGAGGGGTATACATCAGCCTCCAGGGATCCATCTTTGGAGAATCCTCAAAATGGGGGATCCATCAGTCACCAAAAACCTAGACATACTTTCCACCGCCGCAGCCGCGGGCAACTTTTGAGGCGCCTCAAAAGGTATACATCAGCCTCCAGGGATCCATCTTTTGGAAATTCTCAAAAAGGGGTATACATCAGTCGTAACTCAAAAAAGGATATACGGTCCACCGCCGTAGCCACAGGCAGCCCTTCTGTCCTCCACTGACAATACCAACCATCCGGGGAGATACATTCGCGTCAGAGAATTATCACAAGGGGATGTAGGTCCATTTGGTTTTCAAGAATTATGATAAGAAGATGTACATATGTTCGATTTCGAGGTTACCATTGCAGGATGTTCAAATGCTCGATTTTGAGAGTTGTCTGTAGTGGAGATACAATGTCCGATGTACACATACACACACACACACACATTCACACATACACACACACACATACACACACACACACATGCATGCACACATGCGCAAAACCAAAATACATCAAAAGCACCACCGCGCACACAGAAAGAATGAAGGCTCAACACACAGTGTGACGAGCCTATGAAGCTTGGAGATTCTCGCAGGAAGGGAGGACGTGAACCGGTTAGAACCAAGCGACCTGAGGGGAGAGGAACAGGGGAGGGTAGGTAGGTGGGGAAAGAAGAGGGAGGGGGGGCGGGTAAAGCAGTGTGACGAGCCTCTGCAGCTTGGAGATTGTCGCAGGAAGGGAGGACGTGAACCGGTTAGAACCAAGCGATCTGAGGGGGATGGGCAACAGGGGGCAGGTGGAGAGATGGATGGGAGAAAAGAAGGGAGGGTGGGAGGGGGGAGGAGAGGGGGATGGGCAGAAGGGTGGGAAGAGGGGGGTGCGCGAAACACC